GCTCCGAAATCAGAGCTTTGAGCAGCAGAGGAACAGAACAGAACCTTTGAAATGGAATTAGGAGCTAAATATAAAGGAAAAGTAGCTTTTTTTTTCCACAAAAAGAAGCATAAAAATAGTACTGAAATGCAGACTTTACAGTTCATATAGTCCTAAAAGATATCATGTTACAGCGCAGGTGCTTTTCAGACAGCTGAACACTTCAGACTGCCGAATACCAGGCTGTCTAAAGGTCCACTGAAAAATGGTGTATATTCAGTGAATCTGTTTCTTTCCGATGTATTGTCTTTCCTGGGACTCTTTCTTGCTCCTGTCTAACCGTGTTTGAGGCTCATTCCAAACCCATGCGTTTTACTTGACCAGCTGAATGCTTCCAGCTGATATATCAGGCTGCTTTCATCAGTGATTTAACCACGAAAAGCACAAACGTAGCTCAGTGGGTTGCACTCAGTTAAAGGGTCTTAATTCCCTCAGTAACAGGATTAACTCTGGACCTCGCCAACAGTTTGCGCCAAGAAACCCCACTGTGCAGCACCATGGGTGTAAATAACCACTTTATAGAGCACGCATCAGCCTGAACATGAGGACAAACACAAGATTAAGCGCGAGAGTGAATGAAGTGAGAGCTTAATGTTGCATCCCAAGACTTATGGATGCAACTGTGAAGCGCGCAAAGCTCCATCAGCTCCGGCTTTCCCGGCCAGCCTTGTGCGTAAAAGTCTCGGTCAGGCTTTTGAAATAAGCTGCTAATAACTGGAACAGGTGCTATTTTTGGAAGTAAAGAAAGCATTTGGTGCAAAATAACAGCGCCTACGCGGAGTCCGGGGGCTCCACTTTGTATTTTCTCTCCCCATTTTTCTGAAACCCTGATGGATCCGCGCGCGCCTTTGTGCGCTCCCGTGCCATTTGGCTGAGGAGTTGCGCCACCGGTTGCTTTCTGGAGGGCTTTTGCCGCGCGCACAAAAGCTAGTGCCCTCGCCTCCATATGCTTAATGGAAACGGCCCTAAATAAAGGTAAGAGAGAGAGAGAGAGAGGAGGAGGAGGAGGAGGAAAAAAAATGAGGTCTTTTAAAAGTTGGAAAGGTGCCCTTTATTTACTGAGCTCGTTGCGCACGGAGCCCCCTGCGCGCGCGCTCCCGGCTCCTTTCACGCGTCCCCCTCCTTTTTCCTCTCTCCCTTTCTGGCCACCACGGCGCGTTTCAGCGCGGCTCCGGCCTTTTCATCCACCCGCGAGCCTTTTGTCTCGCGCTGAACGGTGATGCTGCGAGTTTTTTTTTTTATTTTAAAGAACGTGGCGACGTTTTTTCCCATCCAGCTTTCTGTGCGAGAAGGGCCCTCGAGCTTGGCAAAAATCAGGCCCCATCATTCAGCGCCGTCACCCCGCACCTGTGCTCGTGGCATTCAGCGCGCACCGACCTATTCTTATTAACCTTAATTATTCAAAAAAAGGCCCCCGCACAATGGCTGAAATGGAGCAGGTTGAAGTCTGTTTATTGCTGGTAAATGTGGAGTCTTTCTCTCTCCACGGGCTCTTCTGTTTTTTTGTGAGTGGCGCGCGCTGGCTCCTTTCAGACTGGAGTATAGCCTCAGACTTGCGTGTGCTTTTTTTTTGTCACTTTTCAATCGTAACATCTGCTTGATCAAAATCTAGAGACAGCAAACATATGCGCAGGAGGATTTGGAGTTAAATCCGCGTAATGAGTTATTAACAGCCTCCCGGGACAATGGAGGAGAGGTGGGGTGCAGCACGGTGAAGTGAAGTGAAGGGGGAGTTTGGAGTCACTCCTTGCATTCTGCACTTCTTCTGCGAGCGCCAGGTGATGAGGAAGAAATCAATGTCCTTCCTTTCTGCCCTTTTTTGTGTCTCTCCAAGTGAGACGGTGGGCATCAGCTGAATTGGACGGATTGAAACATGGGGGGCGCGTTCGGAGGCATTAAATCGTCCTGGAAGACTGGAGCACAGTTTGCCTTGTGGCTGAAGCTGCTCGTCCGACGGGATTTGCTCCATGCTCTTCATCATGGCCCGCGTGCACACGTCGTGCTTTACGGTTTCCCCATATTGTGCAAAGACAAAGCTTGGGTGGTGCATTAAAGGGGGGCAAACGGTGCCAACACGTCTTGGAGACGTTGTAAGGGCCTCTTTCTCTCTGTCTTTTGCTTGTTTTTAAGCAGCTGCTGTCCAGGCCCTGGACACACACACACACACGCACACACAGAAAAAAAAAGAAAGGAAAAGAAAGGAAGAAAAGAAGAAGTTTGAACTACCAGGTGCATCTCAAGCTAGACGAGGATGGATATGTTACCCTAAGGACACTAGGCCCTGGCTATAAAGATATCACTGTGATTGTTTGAGGTTTCCACATGGTGGAAAATGAGGCACAAGCTCGAATTTGGCAATGAAGGACTTTTTTTTTATTACCCCTATATGGACCAAATTCAAACACCTGTTGCTCCACTGCTATCCTAGTCCCGTTGTGTTAATAATTCCGGCCATATAATTACGATGATGTTATCATTTAGGGGGATCAGTGAGCGTTAAGCCCCCTCTCCTCCAGGCTGGAGAGGGGGCTAAAAAGGGGATTTGGAGACAGCTTTTGGGCAGCTGGTTGACCCATCATCGTGTTGGGACGCGGTGCTCTAAAGGGTTTGTCTCCAAAAGATGAGCGTTGTAAACACGCGCCAGGTTTGAGGCTGATGAGAATGCAGCTAGGAGCCGTTCACAGTGAACACAGCTCACCAGCTCAGGGGTCAGTTAAAGTGTGGAAAAGAGTGATGATGATGATGGTGAGGATGATGACGACGATGATGATGATGATGATAAAGTAGATGACGTAAAAACAGGAGTTATTATTGTTATTATGTCAGTGTGGGCTCATACTGCGGGCGGGTGTGGATGATGATGATGAAGGTCACAGTGATAAATATTTTTGGTTAGTGTTGTTGTAGTCTAGATGATGATGATGATGATGATGATGATGAAAACGACGATGAAGAAGGAGGAGGAGGAAACGTAGAAGAAGAAGAAGAAGAAGATAAAAGCTTTGTTTTCATAAAACGTTGTTGTTTTTGTTGTTATTTACTGTAGATATCCAACCTGACATGTATAGCCCAGAAGAAGAATACGATACTGAGGATGATCACGATGAAGAAGAAGAAGAAGAAGAAGAAGAAGAAGAAGAAGAAGAAGAAGAAGATGATGATGATGATGATGATGATGATTCAAATTATGATGAAGAAACAAGATGTTAATAGTGACGATGATGGTGATGATAATGCTGAAGAAAATAATGATGCTGCTGCTGCTGCTGCTGCTGATGATGATGATGATAATTATGCTGATTATGATAAAGAAGATGTTAATGATGACGTTGGTAATGAAAAAGGAAATGATACTAATGATGAAGATGACGACGATGCAGATACATAAACATAAAACATTTATTTCTGTGCGATTATAAATACAATAAAATGAATAAAATACAATTTTAGAACAGTAGACCAGCATGACTTATCCTGCTCTTCCATGATGATGATGATGATGATGATGAAGGTGACAGTGATAAAAATACAAATACAAATACGAACATCCATCTGATGTCGATATTTCAAAGCAACTATCTACCAATATCGATATGATTCTGATTTCATCGTGCAGCACTAGTCATGTAGCAGCCCAGTGATGATGATGGTGGAGGTGGTGAGGACGATGACGATGATGATGATGATGATGATGATGATAGTGTTGACAAAGGTAATGATTAATGTTAATAGTATTATTTCTATTATTGTTGTTGAAGACACATTCTACAATATATAGCACATAACAACTGTTATGATGTTTATTATTATTATTATTATCATTATTATTATTATTATTATTGTTACTATTATTATTATGCTACACATTACTTCATGGCGCGCGCCGTCATTTTCCCCTCCACATGCTGCAGCATTACACTCAGCTTATGCACCGAGTTCACCTAAAACTCCAAGGAAAACTCAACAACATCTCAGCCACAGTTGCACCAAACATCCTGCGCAACAGGTGCGCAAGGCGGTTTAGACCCCCGCGACTCCTCAGTGCCAAAATAAGGAGTCTGAACTCCAGCAGGAGCGTCTCTACTGGAGAGGAGAGGTTTCAGTCTCAGACTCCGTAAAGATGGACAGATAGGAATGGAAACACAGAGCTGTGGGTTGCAATGCATTAAGTGGTGCTTAAAGGATTTCGGTGCTGCGCGTGCACGAGTCTCCAGATAACGCCAAGAAAACGCTAAAATAGTTGCTTTCGGTCCTCTAACCCGCTGAAACACCGTCGGTGGTAACTAATCTCAGAGACCCCGGCCTCCTCGCGCTCCTTTATCCGAGTTTAGGGCTATTTGACTTTCTAATGAGCGTAATGAGATTACATGGCTTTGGCTAATGAGGCGCTAATGCGACGGAAAGTTTGGATCACGGCGACCACCTTAATGTTAAACTCAAAACTAAATCGATTAGGAGAACTTTGGGTGGTCGCCAATGACGAATCAAGTGCATTTTAGATCGACCTTGAAGATCATGATAATGAATATAATGAGAAAGAAGAAGATAAAGGCCAAAATATTATTATAGAATAATAATATTATACAAGAAATAATATTACTAAAATATAGTTTTATTTATAAACAATGTTTCATTATTCTTATTATTATTATTCTTATTATTATTATTATTATTATTATTATTATTATTATTATTATTATTATTATGCATGTGAAAGACCAATAAAATCAGTTTAATATATTTTTGTTATATTTTAATTTAAGGCATAACAACAACCAGAACATTATTATTATTAATAATAATAATAATAATAATAATAATAATAATATGTATGTCACGCCATTGCAATGTCAGATCCTACAGTACATTAATCATATCACAATATTAATATGATTACAGTCCTGCCACTGTCTGAGTGAAGGAGTGAGATAAAGTGATGGAGGAGATGAAAGTATAAATACCTTCTTCAGCCCGGTTCCTCCTGCGGCTGGTTCTGCTGCAGTGTCCCAGCGCTCAGCCCGGCTCAGTGTGGCCCGTGTGGGGATGGGGGGTGGAGGCTTTGGGCCCTTAATAGCCCGCAAGCTGACGTAGGGGCGGCAGGAGAGGGTACCACGGGAAAAATCTGCCCCGCAGCACCTGCACCCTCACCCCCAGCCTGGGGCAGCAGCCCGGGGCAGCGAGGACACGGAGCAGTCCTTTTACCCCCCATTTACACCATCACGAGGATGATAAATAAAGAAAATAGCGCTCCAGCTCGCCTGATTTCTCCACATCACCAGCAGGAGCTGCGGACCACAATGATGACAAAACTTCTGACAAGTTTCAGCTGTTGCATGTGTAATGAGGCTGTGGGTCCAGTCCAAAAGTCCAAGACGCAGGAAAACGTCATGAATAAAATATGGGGCAGCAACACGACTACTTTCTTTATAGACAGTAATTGCTTTGATGTCAACATTTTATTCACGTGCGACTACTTGATGCATTTGATTCGTGTAAATTCAAAGCACTATTTTTGTAGTGTCCGTTATAATCTGTTGCTGCAGTTATAACAGTGTTGTATTACCACATTGTCATATTATTCAGAATTAATGTTGATGCACGGGGATTAAGCGGTTATAACTGTGCTGAATCAAAATATTCCTTATGTCAGACACTGATGCACGTGACTAAGAACAGTTATAACAGTGCTATATTAATATAGAATAGGCATGGATGCACGTGGCTTTGGACATTAAGAACAGTTATAAGAGTGCTATATTAATATAGAATAGGCATAGATGCACGTGGCTTTGGACATTAAGAACAGTTATAAGAGTGCTATATTAATATAGAATAGGCATAGATGCACGTGGCTTTGGACATTAAGAACAGTTATAACAATGCTATATTAATATAGAATAGGCATAGATGCACGTGGCTTTGGACATTAAGAACAGTTATAACAATGCTATATTAATATAGAATAGGCATAGATGCTCGTGGCTTTAGACATTATGAACAGTTATAACAGTGCTATATTAATATATAATAGGCATTAGTGCACTTGGCTTTAAACATTAACAGTTATAACAGTGCTATTTTAATATATTACTCATAATAGGCATTGGTGCAGGTGGCTTTGCCCAATAAGAACAGTTATAACAGTGCTATGTTAATATAATACTTACAATAGGTCTTAATGCATGTGGCTTTAGACATTAACAACAGTTATAACGTGTTTTATTAATATATTACGCATAATAGGCACTGATGCACATGGCTTTGGACATTAAGAACAGTAATAACAGTGCTATGTTAATATATTAGGCAAAATAGGCACTGTTGCACATGGCTTTGGACATTAAGAGCAGATATCACAATGTCATATTAATATATTACACATAATATGCACTGTTGCACATGGCTTTGGACATTAAGAACAGTTATAACAATGCCATATTAACATATTTCGCGTAATAGGCACTGATGCACATGGCTTTGGACATTAAGAACAGTTATAACAGTGCTATATTAATGTATTGCTTATAGTAGGATTGGTGCACGTAGCTTTGGACATTAAGAACAATTATAACAGTGATATAATGCAATATTAACGTGCTGCATAATGGACATTGATGCACGTGACTTTAGAGCTTGTACCAGCTGCTTCTACGCCATAAATCTGCATTACTGCCATGATCATAATAAGTTTGGAGACGCTATATGTGCTGTAAAGGTACAGCTATTGCTCATATGGACATTGTTGCACATATAACAAGCTTCTCCATGTGCTTTATTGCATTTTTATGGTATGTGCTGCTTCTACGGCAAACATACCATGAACTTCTGATTTATTGTACTGTATGTATTTGCAAAAGATTATCCCAGCTATGTGCACATTAAGGCACATGTATTTGCACTGTGCTTTAACTGTGCTGGACATTATTGAATGGTGTAACTCTAAACCACTGTTGTTATTTGTCATCAATGCAGCTCTTCCAAAATGTTTATGCACATTTCACACTGTTCGCCCTTTTCAAAGGGAATGATACACACAGGCTGGATTTATGAATCAATATGAAAATTTATTGAATCATCAGTATAAATATAGACCATTCGATGCACGGTACGTTTTCATTTTTATAAAAAATAGGTTTCGTTTCGGTTTGCCATACAAATCAACGTTAAATTAGAAAAATATATTATCACATCATTCAGACAATTAAATACTACACGTGATTGCCCGCGGCTCTAGGCTCGTTCCAGACCGGACGGCTGAAACGACAATAATAAATATTTACATAGTGACAGGACATAAAGCGCGTGGAGGTTCCCACACAACAGTCACGCACATCCACGTCCACATGTGCACGTATAGGGCTGATCCGCACACATGAGCAGTGCTTTAGGAGATGAAGCTGAAGGGAGGCTCGATGTTCTCGATGTTGTTGAGGGAGGATTTGAGGTGCAGTCTGCGGGGGTCTTCGGGGGTCCACACTTTAGCTGTCCGGATGATGTTCTGTTCTTTTAGCTGCTTCTCATCGGTCCAGGACAGAGAGTGACCGGCCAGGGGGGGCAGACCGTAATCGGGGTCATTAGGAGATGGAGGTCCTGCAGGAGAAAAATAAAAATAGATTAATAAAATTATAGAATTAATAACAACAACAACAACAACAACAACAGGAGTGATAAAAATATAATAATAAAGCAAAAATAAGGTAAAATATATAACAAAATAATGGAATATTACGAAGGAATTGTATACAACATAATAAAACAGAGTAATTATAATATTAATAAATATAACATTATTGGAAATAATATGGTAACTGCTATTATTATTATTATTATTATTATTATAGGTGCCATATCATTGTTATGGTGTGGTATAAGAAGACAACAACAACAACAGCAATAAAACAACCACAATAATAATAATAATAATAATAATAATAATAATAATAATAATAATGACTTACTGGTGACTCTGTGGCAGATGATGATCTTTTTGGGCGGGTTGAGCGCTTCGCTGCTCGAGCTGCGGATCGGCGCGTCTGACTGCACGAGCTCGGCCAGGAAGTTGATGTATCCAATGGCGAGACGCAGAGTGTCCACTTTGGACAGGCGCTTCTCGTAGGGCAGCGTGGGGATGTGCGAGCGCAGGCCCTCGAACGCGTCGTTGATGGACTGCATGCGCCGCCGCTCGCGCACGTTCGCGGCCTGCCGGAGCTGCTGCGCCTCGAGCTCGGAGCGCGCGCGCCGCCTGCGCTTCAGCGAGGAGGGCGACGAGGAAGAGGAGGACGACGAAGAGGAGGAGAAAGAAAGGCTGGCCGCGTCGCAGCAGTCCTGCAGCTGAGCGGCGAAAAAGTCCACATCGTCGTCCAAGAAGTCGTCGCTCCTGCACGCGAAGAAGTCGTCGTCGTCGAAGTAGGGCGACGAGAACGAGTCCAGGCACGAGAACGAGTCCAGCACCGTCTCCATCGCCTCTCAATAAATAACAGGAATAAATAAACACGTAAACACACACACACGCACACACAGAGGCTCGGCTCTTTAACTCCGCGCGCCTCCACGGGCTCTCATACACACACACTCACACTCACGGCTCTTATACACACGCAGACACGCGAGCGCGTGCCGCTCATGCATCGCGCCGACCAATAGGCGCAGAGCAGCGGAGCGCACCTGGAGGAGGGGTGGAACGAGAGGACACGCCCAACCGACACGCCCACCGGCGACTGCTCAACAGTGGAAGGGGAGGAAAAGACAATAAAGCAGAACAGACTGATAACTAAATTTAACAGATAGATAGATAGATAGATAGATAGACAGACAGACAGACAGACAGATAGATAGATAGATAGATAGATAGATAGATAGACAGACAGACAGACAGACAGACAGACAGACAGATAGATAGATAGATAGATAGATAGATAGAAAGGTGGATAGATAGATAGATAGATAGATAGATAGATAGACAGACAGACAGACAGACAGACAGACAGATAGATAGATAGATAGATAGATAGATAGATAGATAGAAAGATGGATAGATAGATAGACAGACAGACAGACAGACAGACAGACAGATAGATAGATAGACAGACAGACAGACAGACAGATAGATAGATAGATAGATAGATAGATAGATAGATAGATAGATAGATAGATGGATGGATGGATGGATGGATGGATGGATGGATGGGTAGATAATAATAATAATAATAATAATAATAATAATAATAACAACAATAATGATGATGATGTTGCTGTTGTCATTATTGCTGTCGTCACAATAAGAACATTCATTATCATTGTATTATGTAATATTTGCATTAATGACTTGTAAATAAAATACAAATGTATAAGGGTCATAATAAATCCCATTATTATTATTATTATTATTATTATTATTATTATGTGACATCTGACTGATAATGTATTTGAAGCTGCAGAGATAGATCCTCATAACTCAGAATAAAGCATCCTTCATTTTACGTTGCTGTATTTTATCGCCTCCTCATCCCAAACAAATCCAACCACCGAATGACGTAGAACACACGAATCAAATGACCGAAGTCAAAACCATTCCAGTTACTTAATCACACTTAAACGCGTGACGTCACGACTGTTGTGACTGAGCGTAAACAGGGGAAGTGAGTGGAGTGTCTCTCATTAGTAACTCATCACTCGGAGCTGAAGGGCTCCTGCTGCTCTCAGCCTCACGACCAATTAAGCGCAGTTTGCGTTTTGCCCCGGTGCCAGACAATGCGCAAATAAAAACACACCCCTCCCCGCGAGCGCAGTTTTAACGCCTTAATGAAAAGGTCACGCGCGCACAGGTTGACCCCTGTCACCTTCAGGCTCTTCTTTAAACACAGGTACCCCACCACCACCACCACCACCACACATTCACACACAACTACCCTACCATCTACCCCCCCCCACCCCCCACCCATCACCACCCACCCACCCACCCTTTGGCGCAGCGCACGAGCGCCATACAAAGCAGCGCAAACATTAGTGTAAGAGTGATGAGAGTGAAAGGAGCTGTCACTGCTGGGAAGAATAGAACGTGGGGGTGACTCGTCATCATCATACGGG